CTAACAAACTTACACTAAACATTGACAAAACCTACTTCATTCAGTTTGGTAACAGAGCTACAGATGTCCCTCTTAACATAATGATAAACGGATCACCTATCACAAAGCTAACAGAGGGAAAATTCTTAGGAATCCACCTTGATAATAGACTCAATTTCATACACATATACAACAAATTTCTAAGAAAATTTCCAAGACTGTAGGCATACTATCGAAGATACGGTACTATGCTCCACAGTCAGCCCTCCTGGGCCCCATATCACTCTCTTATTTACCCCTATCTCACCTATGGAATTTGTGCATGGGGCTCAACAACAAGTAACCATCTCAGACCACTAATTACCCAACAAAAGGCTGCAGTTAGAATGATAACAAATTCTCACTATAGGCAGCACACTCCACCAATATTCAATACACTAAACCTATTCACCATACAAAACATTCATACTTATTACTGCACCTATTACATACATAGAACACTTAACTCTGATATTAACCCTCCCCTCAAACATCTCCTTGCCACCTCAACAGAACACATGACCATAACACAAGGCACAGATCACTCTTTGATGTTCCTCGTGTCCATCTCACACTATGCAAAAACTCAATGCACATAAAAGGCCCTAAAATCTGGAACTCATTACCTGTAAATATAAAAGAAACACTACCTGTTTATAAATTCAAGTCTCTTCTCAAAGATCACTTACTCACAAAAAACCAAATAAATACTGAATAACTGAACCTTATAAATTGTATATCTTAAATATTTCTCACAATTATATCACATAAATGTTAAACCTAAAACCCAATCTAACTTTATTATTTTTTAAATACACTACCTAACAGAATACTCCATTCTACTGAATGTACAACAATGCATACAACCATATGACCTGTCTTTGTAATACTCACTTGTGCTTTATAGTAATCTGTTTACATTAAAGTTTTATCACCGATGTCATCATTGCTTAGTTCATCTTAAGTTAATTTTAAGCCAGCCCGTAATGCTATGCATAGTATAAGTGGCTTTGGCATACTGCTCTTTTCTGTATTTTTTGTACCTCTGTATGTGTGCACAAATTTTTAAATAAATAAATAAATAAATAAATAAATTATTACCACCACTCATTACCTGGTGGCTAAAGCTCCCGCTTCACACACGGAGGGCCCGGGTTCGATTCCCGGCGGGTGGAAACATTTCGACACGTTTCCTTACACCTGTTGTCCTGTTCACCTAGCAGCAAATAGGTACCTGGGTGTTAGTTGACTGGTGTGGGTGGCATCCTGGGGGACAAGATTAAGGACCACAATGGAAATAAGTTAGACAGTCCTCGATGACGCACTGACTTTCTTGGGTTATCCTGGGTGGCTAACCCTCCGGGGTTAAAAATCCGAACGAAATCTTATCTTATAATCACCACTCATTATTACCCTTATAATCACCACCACCACCACACATTATTACCATCATCACTACTCATTATTACCCTCGTCACCATCATTATCACCATTAATGATCATAATCACCATCGTCATCACTGAGTATTACCCTTGTCATCACCACATCATTACCCTCATCTTCATCATCGTCATCATTACTTATTACTCTCACCATTACTATCCTGGAGTTTACCTGGAGAGAGTTCCGGGGGTCAACGCCCCCGCGGCCCGGTCTGTGACCAGGCCTCATGGTGGATCAGAGCCTGATCAACCAGGCTGTTACTGCTGGCTCCACGCAATCCAACGTATGAGCCACAGCCCGGCTGGTCAGGTATCACCACCACTCATTACCCTCACCATCACCACCACTCATTACCATCACCACCACTCATTACCATCATCCCCACCACTCATTACCGCTCATCACCACCCACTCATACCCTCACCATCAGCACCACTCATTACCCTCATCACCACCACTCATTACCCACACCATCACCACCACTCATTACCCTCATCAACCACCACTTATTAACCACTCATCCACCACCACTCATACCATCACCACCACTCATTACCCTCCATCACCACCACTTATTACCCTCATCACCACCACTCATTACCACACCACCACTCATTACCCTCATCACCACCACTCATTACCCTCATCACCACCACTCATTACCCTCATCACCACCACTCATTACCCTCACCATCACCACCACTCATACCCTCATCACCACCACTTATTACCCCTCATCACCACCACTCATTACCATTCACCACACTCATTACCCTCATCACCACCACTCATTAACCCATCACCACCACTTATTACCCTCATCACCACCACTCATTATCCTCATAATCACCACTCATTACCCTCATCACCACCACCTCATTATCCTCATCACCACCACTTATTACTCTCATCACCACCACTCATTACCATCACCACCACTCATTACCCTCATAATCACCACTCATTACCCTCATCACCACCACTCATTACCCTCATCACCACCACTCATTACCATCACCACCACTCATTACCATCACCACCACTCATTACCCTCATAATCACCACTCATTACCCTCATCACCACCACTCATTACCCTCATCACCACCACTCATTACCACTCATCACCACCACTCATTACCCTCAATCACCAACCACTCATTACCCTCATCACCACCCACTCATTACCCTCATCACCACACTCATTACCCTCATCACCACCACTCATTATCCTCATCACCACCACTTATTACCCTCATCACCACCACTCATTACCATCACCACCACTCATTACCTCATAATCACCACTCATTACGCTCATCACCACCACTCATTACCCTCATCACCACCACTCATTACCCTCATCACCACCACTCTTCATCACCACCACTCAATCATTACCCTCACAATCACCACTCATTACCCTCATAATCACCACTACATTACCCTCATCACCACCACTCATTACCCTCATCACCACTCATTACCCTCATCACCCCACTCATTACCCTCATCACCACTCATTACCCTCATCACCACCACTCATTACCCCTCATCACCACGACTCTTCATCACCACCACCATTACCCTCACAATCACCACTCATTACCCTCATCACCACCACTCATTACCCTCATCACCACCACTCATCTACCCTCATCACCACCACTCATTATCCTCATCACCACCACTTATTACCCTCATCACCACCACACTCATTACCCTCATCACCACCACTCTTCATCACCACCACTCATTACCCTCACAATTAACCACTCATTAACCCTCATCACCACTCATTACCCTCATCACCACCACTCATTACCCTCATCACCACCACTCATTACGCTCATCACCACCACTCATTACCCTCATCACCACCACTCATTACCCTCATCACCACCACTCTCATCACCACCACTCATTACCCTCACAATCACCACTCATTACCCTCATCACCACCACTCATTACCCTCATCACCACCACTCATTATCCTCATCACCACCACTTATTACCCTCATCACCACCACTCATTACCCTCATCACCACCACTCATTACGCTCATCACCACCACTCATTACCCTCATCACCACCACTCATTACCATCATCACCACCACTCTTCATCACCACCACTCATACCCTCACAATCACCACTCATTACCCTCATCACCACCACTCATTACCCTCATCATCACCACCACTCATTACCCTCATCACCACCACTCATTACCCTCATCACCACCACTCATCCTCATCACCACCACTCATTACCCTGATCACCACCACCCATTACCCTCATCACCACCACTCATTACGCTCATCACCACCACTCATTACCCTCATCACCACCACTCATTACCCTCATCACCACCACTCATTACCCTCATCATCACCACCACTTATTACCCTCATCACCACCACTCATTACCCTCATCACCACCACTCATTACCCTCATCACTACCACTCATTACCCTCATCATCACCACCACTCATTACCCTCATCACCACCACCCATTACCCTCATCACCACCACTCATTACCCTCATCACCACCACTCATTACCCTCATCACCACCACTCATTACCCTCATCACCACCACTCATTACCCTCATCACCACCACTCATTACCCTCATCACCACCCACTCATTACCCTCATCATCACCACCACTTATTACCCTCATCACCACCACTCATTACCCTCACACCACTCATTACCCTCATCATCACCACCACTCATTACCCTCATCCACCACTCATTACCATCACCACCACACATTACCCTCATCACCACCACTCATTACCCTCATCACACTCATTACCCTCATCACCACCACTCATTACCCTCATCACCACTCATTACCCTCATCATCACCACCACTCATTACCACCATCACCACTCTTATCTTCACCTGTTCTTCCCTTAGATCCAACCCGAAATGCCTAGCCATGCTAAGCGTTCTAGTGGTACACTCTGTAATCTCAATTTTACTACATGTTAAACCAAACAATAACCAAATTTCTGTAAACTCAGCATTGTAATCCTTATAGAGAATAAACTTTGAAACTTTGAACCTAATTGCTTCCCATTCCCAGGCACTGTATGACTCCTACGGGTTTTGCGCTTTCCCCTAAATAAACAAGTCTGCCTCCCCATTTTTTCAGACCCAGGCGCTGTTTCCCATTAATTTCAACTGTTATTATTTGTATACTGTATATTAATATTCTATTCCTAATAATAAGGTCACAGGAAATCACGAGAATACTTGGAATATAACTATTTTCACTGAAGTAAATCTATTTAGGTATACGTTCAAATAAATAGTTATTATACCTAGTAACATGTGTAAATTATCTAGAATAATCCCCCATATGTTACTGTAACAAAATTGTAATCCAAATTTATGTATTTATATGGCAAAACGATATAGAGAAGAGCTATTTTCTGGCCTCGTTAAAATAAAGGGCAACATTATAACCATCCCCCCACCACCAAATTTTTGGAGGCCTCCCTTAAGCTATAGGCCTATCTACGGGCCAAGATTACTTCCCATTCCCCAGACACCTTAGTGCCCTTACGAGTTTAGCGTTCCCCCATGATCACAGAGTAGTGGAGGAAGTACACGTGTACCACTCACACTCTCACACGTAACACTGGGAAAACACTGTCATTTCAGGTGTTTCTGCCTCACTCACGTGTTTTTCTACCTCACTCAGGTGTGTTTCTGCCAGGTGTGTTTCTTCTCCCACACACGTACAGGTAAATACTTATGTATTGTTAGTAATATGTCTCTGGGGAGGTTATTAGTGAGGTTGGGACACAATAAGTAAGTTTATTTAGGTACAGGCAGCGCTGTATGACCCTTGTTGGTTTAGCGCTTTCTTTGATAATATTTAGGCACAGGTACGCAAGTACAATTATCATAAGTAGTTGAACATGTGTGTAAATTACCTCAAATAACCCGGGAAAAGTCATATATACGGTGATTTATTTCCATTGGGGTCTTGTTGGTCTATAAGGTAATTTCAGAGATTTTTTTTTAAGCAAGACTCATATCTTATCGCAATTTTACGATGTTTCGCCCCCCACACACTGGGACATCAATTCATAAAACCACCTTTATCTTACAACGTTTCTTATCTGTATTTTTTTTTTGTACCTCTGTAAGTGTGCTCAAATTATAAATAAAAAAAAAATAAATAAATAAATATTTTATTTACCACATTTTGGTTCATGTCAACAACTGACATAATCTACTTTGTTTAGGTACAATTACTTTATTTTGGTATAATTACACCTTTTTTGTGATTGCAATTATCATCATAAATCACCAAGGATAACTGGAAAAAGTCAAGAGTGATTTATTTCTATTGTGATCCTAGGCCTTAAATCATTTGCTAATAATAATAATGATGATAATAATAATAATAATAATCTTTATTGCTACAAGTACATGTACAAGGTATACAGGTCTAGCCCATTGTTATGTAGAGCATTTTGGGCAAATCTGGTAAATTTTGTCCCCAGGATGCAACCCACACCAGTTGACTAACACCCGGGTACCTATTTTATAGCTGGGTGAACATGGGCAGCAGGGGTCTTAAGGAAACGCGTCCTAATGTTTCCACCCGTACTGGAGATCGAGCCACAAACCTCTGTGCGTGAGCTGAGTGCTCTAACAATCAAGCTACGGGACTATATATGGGACATATATAAGACCACAATTATCAGTCATCACCACGTCAACCACCTTTAGTAACCACCACAGCAAGAATCTTGGCCATCACTACAATAACCATCATAGCCACTACCACAACATCCATCCTGGCCACTACCACAACATCCATCCTGGCCACTACCACAACATCCATCCTGGCCACCATCACTCAGCCACCACCTCTGCTACCATAGTTGTCCCAGGATGATCCTCCAGAGGAATCATCCTCCAGACCTCCCCATTAGTATAAAAACCATCAACATCACATCTTGGGTAAATAATGTATTTACTATTCTGTAGGCATTGCACAACGATCACTATTGTTCGTAGATTTGGAGTTCACTGCTTCTAGGAACTTAACCATCGTAGATAATGGGTGTTTACTTTTTCTTAATTTTTTATTGATTTTATTTTTTGTTGGGGGGGGGGATAGGTGTACCTTGCTTTATGGATTCTTTGCACAGTTGGAATTTGAGCAAATGAATTTACACATAAGAAGTAGACCCAGTTCATACCATTAACTCACTTTTAATAAAAAAAAATTCACAGTTGTATGTGATCACTGTGGTTTGCATATTGTAAATATAAACTGATTCTGCATTGCTTTCTGGAATGTAAATTAACTCGTTCGATCAGTATATGATACACAGCGTGAGTGTATAGGGTGTTAGTTAAGTTGTAATCTGCCCGGTGGCCCGGTGGCCTGGTGGCTAAAGCTCCCGCTTCACACACGGAGGGCCCGGGTTCGATTCCCGGCGGGTGGAAACATTCGACACGTTTCCTTACACCTGTTGTCCTGTTCACCTAGCAGCAAATAGGTACCTGGGTGTTAGTCGACTGGTGTGGGTCGCATCCTGGGGGACAAGATTAAGGACCCCAATGGAAATAAGTTAGACAGTCCTCGATGACGCACTGACTTTCTTGGGTTATCCTGGGTGGCTAACCCTCCGGGGTTAAAAATCCGAACGAAATCTTATCTTATCTTAATACTTCTATTTTGTTTTTTCATCAGGCATACTGTATTTGTAGATTAGAAATTGTTCTGTAGTTCTTAACATTAGTCGGAGCATCACCTCTGTGGGTGGGAGTTACGTTGGCTCTTTTGAAAACATTTGGAAAGTATATCTTAATGATTTGTTGATAAGGATTGCATTAATAGAAAATATTACTTGTGCAGTTATGTTACTTTTTTTTTTTAAGTGATTTTATTGTTGAAGTTATTTCTACATTGGTAGAAGGAGCCAACTAAAACGAGTCTAGATAATTGCCTGTCAGATGGTTACTGATGTTTGGCTAAGTTTCTTCCATTTATACAATTCATGCCAGGCAAGACTGATTGAATTTTGGATTTTTTATTTTGTATCAATTTTTTAACCAAATTCATTGCCTTTGTGTATTTTAAATAGTATCTGTTTGGTGCATGTGTGGACAGCTCATTTTTTGGGGGGGGTTAAAAAAAGTGAAGAAATGTGAATTTTTCCACTACAGCAGTCTTTACTGCATTATGGCAGTTTAGAATTTTGTTTTGCCCCAGCCTCTCCTCAAGAAGAAACCCATGTCTGCAAGTACATATATGTATGTACGTTGGTTTTTAACTTTTAAAAATAATTGAAATATATATTTAATATTACTGTCCCAGTCTGCATCATCCATTATAACATGGGTACTTTTGAGAAAATGGAATGTACATAAAAGTCAACTAATGAACTATTTTCCCATTCCCCTTTTTTTGGGTGTTAATCAGGGGTTGACTGTACTATTTGGCAAAAATCAGTAACAAAATTTAAATTTTGTTTCTTCTCTGTGCACATTACTAAGCGTGTCATGGTATGGTATTTCATCTGCAGTGTAGCCTTAAGAAGTAAAGGGTGAAGAGTCTCTCGTGCTTTACTGGTCTTGTCTCATTTTTACAGATGGAAATAGCTGTAGCTGTTGAAACATTAGTTAATATTTCTTGTCTTGGTATAGACTGTACAAGTCTTGTACCTTCTGAGGGGTGCCCTGATGATGTTGAAAGATTCTTGATTCAGGGAATTGGGATTACCATTCCCTACCCCCTATCATTTTCTAGGCACTGTATGATCCTTGCAGGCATAGTTCTTTCCCTTGAATAAAATATTAATACTGTACTTAAAAAATGTTGTGTAATATTCCTGTGAATTTTCAGGCATTCCTTCATTTTTCAGACCTAAGCTTCACCTTTAGTCTTGCAGAATTCTGTTATTTTCATTTTTATGTACTCTAGGGTACGTTTTTATTGAAATTAATTTTTCAACAAAGTTACACGTTTTTTAATTTATTTTAGTCGGCAGATGAAAAATGTCTTCCTTGGTCTTCCAACTCTTAATGGTGCTAATGATTGCAGTGTGTAGTGTTGTGTCTTCCAAACCTCCCAAGTCACAGGTAAGAATTTATTTGACAGGCATGTGTGAGCAAGTGATATTTATGATTTGACAAAATGTTGGAGTGTGAGCAAGGTAACATTTATGAAGGAATTCAGGGAAACCAGTTACCTAGACTTAAATCCTGGAGGTGGGAGGTACATTGCCTGCACTCTGGGGATATTGCTGTTTGGAGGGGAATCTGAACTCTAATGTTGGTACACCTTTAGCAAGACAGTGATGGTGAAAGATCCATAGCTGAATCAGTGGGTAGAATGAATGGGAGTAAAGGGGCTGAGATAGATGGGATTAAGACTGAGATGTTAAAACCAGGGAGGGGGAGATATGATTATAGAGTGGTTGATGTATTTGTTCATTATAGTCATGAAAGACTGGAAGGTACTGAAGGACTGTCAGAAAGCATTCGTGGTTCTTTTGCTCAATATATGCCTGAAAGAAAGGAAGGTACCTAAGGATTGGCAGAGATCATGCATAGCTCTTTTGCATAATGGAAAAGGGGACATGAGAGAGAGTAAGAATTATAGCATAATAAGCCTGTGAGTATACTGGATAAAACATATGCTATTAGAATTTTTATTGAAAAGATTAGGGTTAAGACAGTAAGCAAGAATGCAGAGGAACAAGGTTTTAAAATGGTAGATGTGTAGTCCAAGTGTTTACATAGAAACTTATAAGTGATATAGTAAGAAACATATAAGTGAACAATACATGGATATAGAATTTAGAAAAAGCATATGATAGAGTGAATTGGGGAGCAATATGGCAAATGTTGCAAATGAATGGAATACAGAGTAGGTTACCAAAAACAGTTAAGTGTTTTTAATAGGAGAGTGAATCTCAAGTTAGGGTATGTAGGAGAGAAGGATTTTTTTCAGTAAACATAGGCTTTTAGACGAGGATGTGTGATGTCACAATGGTTGCTTAAAATGTTTAAGTTGGGAAGAATTAAAAGGTAATGAATCTGGTACAAAGTTGGAGTTGTTATAGTTGCTCTTCAGCAGTGATACTTTCTTTTGGGAAGTTCTGAAGAGAATTTGCAAAGGTTAGTAAATGAGTTGATCAGGGTATGCAAAAGAAGGAAGTTAAAAGTGAACAGAGAAAAGAGCATGATGATGATGATAATGATTAAGGCCTCTTAGAAGTAGGTGCCTTGGTGATGGTGAAGAACTTTTCATGTGAGGAATTGTAGCTACTCTTTCCATCCTTGGATGTAAAATGATTACCCCCTATTCCCGAAGTTCTTCATTACCCTTCCATGTTTAGCATTTTCTCATTAATATACCAGTAATAATAATAATAATAATAATAAAGAAATGCACTTGTGCTATGTCTAGTGTCTATATACCTATTTTCTTTTACTCCAGGATGAAATCTAGACTTAAATGACATGAAGCTCTCTTGATAAAATTTTTAGGATGTTGTCATAAACTGTTTACAATAATATTAGAAATAAACATCTTGATAAGAGTAGGTAAAGTTTGTATTTTATTATAAAAGTTTTTTTTTTTTTTTTTTTTTTTCAACAAGTCGGCCGTCTCCCACCGAGGCAGGGTGACCCAAAAAAGAAAGAAAATCCCCAAAAAGAAAATACTTTCATCATCATTCAACACTTTCACCACACTTGCACAAAGAGGGGGGTAAAGGAGGTTTTGTGGGTAAGGGGCTTGGACTTCCAGCAAGCGTGCGTGAGCGTGTTAGATAGGAGTGAATGGAGACGAATGGTACTTGGGACCTGACGATCTGTTGGAGTGTGAGCAGGGTAATATTTAGTGAAGGGATTCAGGGAAACCGGTTATTTTCATATAGTCGGACTTGAGTCCTGGAAATGGGAAGTACAATGCCTGCACTTTAAAGGAGGGGTTTGGGATATTGGCAGTTTGGAGGGATATGTTGTGTATCTTTATTATAAAAGTATATGCACTAATATGTTTTACTTTTTGAAATTTTAGCCATAGTAAAGCATCTTATATTGAAACAAAATAAAATATTAACAGGTTGTGAAGTGTGCCGTGTGTCGAAGTTTAGTTAATGAACTACATGCGGCCATCAGTGATGTAAGTAGAATGAAATTTCTTGTTTAAGTTTAATTCTTTGCCACTCATTGCCAGGTTAGGTATTGTTATGGACCATCCTTCTTGAGACAGCTGGGTTAGATTGTGTTAAGGAGCCATCCCAGCATCTCTCAGTATACTAAATGGTGGGGGTATTTCCTCTTTCGATTAAATTTGCTTACACTTGAGGCTGAAGATGTGGAATGTTTTCTGGATATGGATTGTGAAAAATAGATTTTGAATAGTTTTACTGCATTGTGATTATGACTTATGTAATAGTATAAGAATGAATTGGTTATGAAAGTAGCAAAGTAGTATTGATAATGTAAATTTGCTATATAATGAGCATGTTTTGCTTTTCCATCCTGTTCAAACATGGATCCTTGGTCTTTTTTTTTTTTTGTTATCCTAGAAAATGTACAGAGAACCTTCACAGCACGCATAACGGAGATAAAACACCTCAATTACTGGGAGCGCTTAAAGTTCCTGAACCTGTACTCCCTGGAACGCAGGCGGGAGAGATACATGATTATATACACCTGGAAAATCCTAGAGGGACTAGTACCGAACTTGCACATGAAAATCACTCAACAACGAAAGCAAAAGACTTGGCAGACGATGCAACATCCCCCGACACTGTTCAACTGCCTCCCAGCATACATAAGGGGGATTACCAATAGACCCCTGGCAGTCTTCAAGCTGGCACTGGACAAGCTCCTAAAGTCGGTACCTGACCAGCCGGGCTGTGGCTCGTACGTTGGATTGCGTGCAGCCAGCAGTAACAGCCTGGTTGATCAGGCTCTGATCCACCAGGAGGCCTGGTCACAGACCGGGCCGCGGGGGCCTTGACCCCCGGAACTCTCTCCAGGTAATAACTGAGGTCAAACAGGCTCAGCCAAGCAGGCTACTGATTAAAATATAACCAACTCCTCAACAGTCAGACTCCAGATATTAGTACCAGTAAACTAATGACTCGGAGAGAATCTATTCTTTGACACTCGTATTCCAAATACGTACCAGCATCAACTATTCAGCAGACAAACAGTGTAAGCAACCTCTCACTGACAGTCTGATTAATCAGCACCATACCTGTATCAGTAACATTTTGGCTAGTTGGACACCACAGTACAATACTGTACTGTACCTTAATCAGGGCACTTCATTTACAGGAAGGACCCAGACAGTGCAAGCACTTTCTGGGAGAGTTAGATTTAAGGCAGTGTTTGTGAATGCTATTCTAATTAATTCCTTCAAGGGGGGTGCTTTGCTGCTGTTAATGGATTTCGTTGTTGCTGAGTCACTGACCTAGGTGGTCTAAGCACATAGCAACAACACACTATGTACACAGTAGGGCTGATGAAGGACCCCACTGTGGCTGAGTCACTGACCGAGGTGGTGGGGTGATGAGGGGCTTTGCTTGACTAAATGCCCAGCAACAACACACCACATACATAGTTGGGCTGATGAAGGAAAAATGAAGACACAGGTGCAAAATGTTATTTATCATGACAATGTTTTGCTTTATGTAGAGTTTTATCGTGTTAGTCATTGACCCATTAAAGCTCTATATAGAGCTAAATGTTACACTATAAGCTAGCTCTGCACCTGTTTTTTCTTCATTGCTGGTGATGGGGTTTTTGATCTAAGGAATTCGAGCTACCCTCTCTTTTGATCAAACTAACTACCTCCCATTCCCCAGGTGTTGTATGACCCTTATAAGTTTGGTGCTTTCCCCTGACTATAATTGTAACATTTTAATTATGGTGGTGAGTAGATTTCCATATTATCACCTACTTTACTTTCAAATGCAATAAAAAATACTAAAATTATTTTTTTAGTATGCCTTATTCATAATACTATTATATTGCAGGTCGATCCAAGGAAAAAAATTGATGTTGGCTCCTATCGTATTGATGCAGATGGGAAACAGAAATTGTCGTCCGTGAAATACGCTGGTTCTGAGGTAAAGTGACCCCATCCCTTTTTTCCTTCCATCACAGATTTATACACCCTCCAAGTCATCCACTTTTTCTCCATCTTTTCTAAAATCCAAACAATTTCAACAACCCCTCCTTGCCATGAATAATTTTTTGTCTCTACCAATGCCTCATCACACCGCCCAGCTTTTCCTCCCTCATTAGTTCCATGATTTGAATTGTTTTTCATAGACCCATGTTGCTGACAGATCCACTCCTAAATATTGGAACATATTCACTTCCTCTGGAGAGTCAGAGACCATGGGTATAGAATGCTCCTTACCAATTTTTTTTTTAACAATTAAATATTTAATTAAACAAATCTTTAAGTTCCTTTGACTAAAATTCCAAGCATAAAGACAAAGACAAAAGCAGCAGAACCAGCTTTATGGGGGAATATTTAGCTCTTTGTGAAGCTTTATCAAGTCTTGACTTGATAAAAAAAAATTAACTTGTCTTAGTCTACATGTAGTACAGTACTTTAAGGCAGTAAGTGTACCTTTGCATCCAGCCTGAATTCTAGGAGTGAGGCTAGTTTCAATAGAGACCTTTATCCTGGGAAGATTGTAGAACCTGTTGTGATCCATGTTGGTAATAGAGTAGTAGCATATGGTTTAAAGGCTGTGATGATTTGAAATTGATAAATTTTTAAAGTTTTTATCAAACTGTTGTAGAGGGGCCACTACAGCTATAGGAAGAGAACATTAATAAGGAGGAAAGCAAGAGGGAAAGAGAGGGAGGAAGGGTAGTGTGAAGGTGATTGGAAGTGGGAGGAGAATATCCAAGAGGGAGGGAGCAGATGGGTGGGTGAAAGAGGAGGGAGGAGAGGTAGTTGGAAGAGAATATTGAAGAGGAGGAGAGCAAGTAGTATGAGAGAAAGAGGGGGGAAGATTTTCCATTCTGATAATTTAATAACCCTTTTCCTGGCAAGAAATTAAGGATTCCAGCTAATGGTGAGGTAAAATACTGGCAATGAGAAAGTCTAAATTACAATGTGTTTCAATGACTGCTTTAGAAAAGTGAATTTGGTACCTTCATGGAATAACTTTTCAGATGCATATGCTGGAAGTTATGGAGACTGTGTGTGGGAGTATGAAGGATTATGCTCAAGCTCGCCATAAAGAGACAGGGAAGCTGGAAGCAATGAAGCTCATTGTTAATGGAGCTATGAATCCACGCTTTGGTGAATACGAGATGGTTCAGGACCCGGATCTCAATAAAGGACTGCAGTTTCACTGTGAATCTATTGTGGAAGATTTTGAGGATGAAGTTGTTGTATATTTTAAAGAAAATGCTGAATTAGATTTAGAAGAGTCCCAGGAAAAATTTTGTACTAAATTAACTAATATTTGTGATGGTGTAAGAGATGAATTGTAGCTTTTCTCAAGGGGATTAGCATATGGTATTTATGTGAGGGCGGATTTGTCGTAAATTTAAGATTTTGTAAACTTTTAATAATTTTTTATTACAATGTATGTTGTTAAAATGTGTTCAAAAGTCATGTGATATTTATTAATTTATTTTCAGTCGCTACACAAACTGAAAATTTCATACCTAAATATATATATTGTTATGATAAGCTGTATGTATTTAACTTTTGTAATGAAACGCTAAACAACTCTATGTCCGGCCCATTAATCAATTAAAAATACACAAATGCCTAATGAAATTAAAGCTTAAATCTCACAACAATAGACCATGAAGAAATATACATTCCATCAGCTTTTTATATTCAATATACCATGCTTCTTTTATTTATTTTTCTTCAGAGATGCTATATTTTACATATGTTATCCAACCTCTGCTTTCTTTCACAACTTAGCTCTTGAGATATCCATGGTTTGATGCATCATTCTCTAGGCTGTGACCCATAATCAGCTAACACCTATTACTGCCGAGTACTGAGGCAACAGCTTTACCCTAGGGAGGTATAATTCAGCAAATAGTCTTCCTATGTTATACCCTGATATGCTGTACCCAGTGAAGACAAATATTCAAGTATAATTCCACGAATCCGCATTTATTGTTAATATTGAGGAGGAGCAAATAAAGTAACAATCACTGAAGTAATGCAAGGCTTGTTACAAGTCTGTTTCATAACCTTCACTCGTGGATACCTCACAAGGGTTAAGATGACCTATACATGTCTTATCCAGTCCAGAACCTTTACACTGGGAATCAAATGCTCTGTCTGTTGAGCTGTTGTACATGGCTTCCCCTTTCTTTTAACATGTTGGATGACCTTGTGTTCCTAGTGGTTATTCTGAATATAATTGCACATACATTATAATGCAAATTTTGCAAAATGCTATTGTTTAACACTATTTATGGATAGTGATGAATGACCCAGACAGGATAAGCACTCTATTTCACTATCATAATACTATAAAAGGACTGGGGGAATTTTTTTAAGCTTACATTCATAAGACATGTATAGCAATCTTAAATAGGCAGAAAAGAGTGGGCAGATATTTTTTTTAAGACATGCTGAATTTATATTTAAAGATATAAAAATTTTACTTTCCCTGAAAAATATTTATGTAGGCATTTTGTGTACAGTATACCATATTAATTTGTGTACGGTATATTACATTATTAATTTTGTGTACAGTATACCACATTATTAATTTTGCCCAAACTTTTTAAATAAAATACAGGTTCAGAATTAGAAAACCTTGAATTTTAATATGAATTACTCGTCATAATGCACAAATAGTTATTAAAGGTATAAATTTTTGGGAAGGAGGCTTTTTAATATGCCATCTGTCTCTTGCCAAGGTAGGATGCCCAAAATAAGAAGAATCACTGTCTTGCGAAAAGCACCCTGACTTCACGGTGTTAATTTCCTAAAATTTACTGTCATACGGTCATTTACTAAACCTGAGTTTATCTTGTTAAAAATATTGTACGTTATGCTATAAAAAACATTAGCTGTAAATTTAGTAAATAAACAGATTTCCATATTTTCAATATTTTTTTATTATTAAAGCATTTATAATATACATTTAAACTTTAATAAGCAACAAAACAATTATTTAAGTTTAAAAAGTAGTAGTAATGATTACAGTGGAACCTCAAATTTCGAAGGTATCGCTTATCGAACTCTTTGAAAATCAACTGCTTTTTTCGAATCAGCTTTGTCCCTATTATCGAACTACTCGCCCTTATTTTCGAACCGCTGGGTACTAGACCTGTCTGCCAGCCCGCTCTGTCCGCGTCCCCACGCAGGCGCCGTGAGCCAGTCTGGCTTTCTTGATGCTTGAGTGAACTCTAACCTGTGCTCTCATTAAAACATTTTATGATTAATTCATTGTGTTTAGTGCTTGTGGGACTGTGAAATAACTACCATGGGCCCAAAGAAACTTGCTAGTGGTACCCCTGTGGTAAAGAAAGTGAGAAATACCATAGATGTGAAGAAGGAAATAATACAGTACAGAAGTATGAGAGTGGTGTGAAACTTGTTGAGCTTGCCACGATGTATGGGAAAAAAAAGTTGACCATTGCTTCTATCCTGGCAAAGAAAGAACAAATCAAGGAAGCTGATGTTGCAAAAGGTGTTAATATGCTAACCAAAAAAAGACCACAGACAATCGAACAGGTTGAGAAGTTGTTGCTGGTGTGGATCAAGGATAAAGAGATGGCAGTTGATAGTGTTTCAGAGACAATTATTTGTGAAAAGTTCAGTGACAAAACTGTGTCCCATTTTAGGGAAATCTTAGAGGCACTAGAAACAGAGGACTGTGGACAGTTATTTTGTGAGACAGGGGTCCAGTGACTCAAGCTGGTCCTAGTGGCATTAAAAGACAGAGAAGGGAAGTAACCCCAGAGAGAGCTTTGATACCTAAAGTCCTTATGGAGGGGGATTCCCCTTCCAAACACTTACCCCAGCTCCCTCTCTCCTCCCTATCTTCCAGATGCCATCACCAGTCTTCAATAAAGGTAAGTAAAAATGTTATTTTATGTTTATTTATATTAATATATAATTGTTCACTATATTTGTTGTGTGTATGTAAAACTATAATTAATCTCTGTAATTTTTTTTTTTTTTTGTGAATATTTTTGGGTTTCTGGAATGGAATAATTGTATTTCCATTATTTCTCATGCTAAATAACACTTAGCTTTTCAAACTTTTCGAATTTAGAACTAGCTCCTGGAATGGATTAGTTCGAAATTTGAGGTTCCCCTGTATTAGTATTATCCTCTTCAAGGGGGCTCCTTGGCATGGTGAAGAGGCTCTTGGTCTGAGGAATTAGACCTTTTGGTCTCCTTCCTCAGAAGGAACCTAATTACCCCCCAATCCCCCCTTCCCTATCCCATCCTCCCCATCTCCCCTTTTGTTCTTTCCTCCTCCTCATCCCTCCCTCATTCTCTTCCTATTTTCAGCCTTTGGGATTCTTCCCACAGGCATTCTAGTTCCTAGGTATGGGGAAGAGTACCGAGGCCCATCCCATTCCATTGAGGTCCTTGGCGGTGGTGTAGTTTGCTGTGGAATCTGGATCACGTGGGGATGTCCCGATCCCTCTCCATTCTCCCCAGGGGTGGCTTTGGTTATATTTCGGGTGATGGGTATCCAGCCGCCCTCTCTTTTGTCCACCAAGGTGGCTCGGTGAATATGAGGGTGCTATCCTGGATTGCTGGTTTACTGGCATGAAGGGTAGGGTATGGCATGGGTTCCATGCCTCATCTTTTCTACTTGCAGTGCTGACGTCCTCTTGGGCACGGAGGGAGATTTACGGCCCTTTCATTCCTCCTAGGAACTATTCCTCCACTTTTCTCCCTTTTTTTATTCCCTTTCCTTCTTTCTTTTTTTTTCTAAAAAACAAAAAGAAAGGAGTAACCTAACCATGGAGTTCCCAATCCATGAACCTGCTCCCCCTGGACCCCTAACTGATAGTGCACCCTGTTCTGACCCTGGCTCATTATTTGACCACTCTTGGGACATTTCTAATGCCTCTGTACCTCCTGCTGGTGCCATTTCGACGCCTGCTCCAGGTACCAGGGTTTTGATTGACTCCTTCAATACATCTGACCTTCACTCTTCTTTGACTATGCTTCTGGCTTCTCCCTCTACAGTGCGGCAATTTTTAGATCGCCCACCTGTCCCACGTCGGACCAACAACAATCCCACACCTAAACGCCCCAGACCATTACCTGATGATACTTCTTCACTTCCTTTTCATTCTCCTCAGAAAAGACTGGCACATCATGCATTCCCTTTTCACGCTATATTTCAAAATATGCAATGGGCTAAATTTTTTTCTCTACGACCGACTTCCTCTACTGCCTGTTTTTCCGACCATAGTATATTAGCAAGGCGCTCCTATGCCATGTTGGTAGAAATATGTCCTTTCATGCTCTCAAGAGTGGTACATGCATCATCACTGTCCAGAATGCTAAACAAGCTCATGATCTTTCTCTCCTTTACAACTATCAATACTATTCCTGTAACTATTGAGAAACATCATTCCCTCAATTCTTGTAGTGGTACAGTCTTTCTGCCACATACCATTGTCCAACAGAATTTCCAGATATGCAGCAATGACATTCTGGAACAGCTAGAACTCCAAGACCTCCCAGTCCTCAAAGTAGACACTTATGTCCTCCCTGCCTGCAGGCGGAGACGATACCCTTGCAATGTACGTAGTTTGCTTAACTTCTGACTGCCGTGAGCTTCCATCCTCTGTATATATAGTAGGACACCATTTGCAAGTTCGAAAGGTGATCCCTACACCACAACAGTGCAGAAATTGCTGGTGTTTTGGTCATCCAGAAAAATAATGCAGGTCCGTCGCCAAATGCCCAGTCTGTGGTGCCGACAACCACACCAATATGTCTTGTAGTCTACCTCCCTCCTGCCTTAATTGTCATAAGGCTCACCCATCTTGCTCTCGCTGTTGCCAAGTTTACTTAAATGAGCGTGTCTCAAAGAGGCAGAAGGCCTCCCATATACTATGGCAGTCTCTCATCTATGCCTCCAAGGGAAACTTCCCCATATTTCTTATTCTCAAGTTACTGAACATCCCCTCCTCTGGGGTCCCAACTTCTGAAGCCTCCTCTGTGGTCACCCCTGTCTCTAATCCTTTTGCTGTCTTGCCCTCAGAGGTCCCTACCTCGGCACCTCATTCTGTTCTCACCTCTTCCTCTTCTCACTCATAAGTTTGTGTGTCTATGAGACCTCATACAGTACCTACTCCCAATCGCCCCTCTCCTTCTCTGAAGTCCAAAAATCTTTCACCTCTCCTTCCCTTCTGCAACCTGCTCATTTTTCCTTTCCAGTCTCTGTTCCCGATTCTTCACCTCTAACTAGCTCTGTTAGGAGTTTGGAGGTTCATTCTCCTACTCGTATAGTACCTTCTTCCCCTGTCCCCTCCCAAGTTTTTTTCTCTTCTGCCCCCTCCCAGGTAACTTCCTCTCCAAATGTCCCCTCCCAAGCTGCTTCTCTAGTTCACTCTGCCCTTTTGTCCTCCCCTACTTTGGTACAGTCCATTGTCTCCCCGATCTTTACTCACCCTCCTTCTTCCATCTCCAATATTGTACCACATACGTCCATGTCCTCAGAAACACTTTAAGCTATCTCAGAATATATTGAGGAGACTAGATGATTGATGGACACCGATCCTCCACCTGTTCCTCCTCTTCACTCTTCTCTGTTTGCACAATTCCTTTCTTCGCAGCATCCCAATCCATCACTGCTTAAAAGTTTTGCTACCTCCACATGTAGACTTTTCTAACACTACTAGTCCATAGATACCTCTACCTTCAGATTTCTTGTATCTTTCTCTTCACAAATCATGGCTTATCTACAGTGGAATATCCATGGCCTCAGAGGTAACCGGGGTGAGCTCCAGGTGTTGCTCTCCCAGTTTTTCCGTTTGTGTTTACAAGAACCCAAATTACGCTTCACTGTTATCCATCTCATCCCATGGTTTATTATATTCATTGGATCCTTTTCCCGATGGAACCTTTAATGAAAGTGCACTTCTTATATGCACCAGTATTCCATACCGTCAGTTCTTTGTTCATATTTTGCTGCATTACACTGCAGCCTGTATCCACTTGAATAAGTGGTAATCAATCTGTTCTTTGTATCTCTCTCCTTCTCGGGCCTTATCTATCCTGGATGTTGCATTTCTGGTTTCTTCCTGTTACTTGGCGATTTTAATGGCCACCATTTCCTCTGGGGGGGTCTCACTGTGACTCCCACGGTGTTCAGTTGGAGGCTTTTCTTGCTTCTCTCCCCCTCCATGTTTTAAATATGGGTTCTCCCACCCATTTTCATCCTCATACTCATTCTCTCTCTTGCATCGATATCTCGGTCTGCTCTTCCTCCACTCTATTAGACTTCACCTGATCTGTCCTCCTGGACTTGCATGACAGTGATCATTTTCCAATCATTCTTACTTCTTCATATTCACCACCTCCTCATAGTCCACGCTGGAAATTTGACCAAGCAAACTGGGACCTTTACTTGCATCTAACTGCTTTTAGTGAGGTTCCTTCTTCGTCCTCCATTAATGAGCTTTTACACCTCTTCTCGACTTCAGTTTCACAGTCTATACCCCAAACCTTGGTGGTCTCCTGCTTGTGCTTAGGCAGTACATTTGAAATGCACTGTATGGGGCAGGTACCAGTACAGTAGAACTAGAGAGAGACTCCTTGATTTTAAGCAGAAGCAAGTGGTTGCTCGCCGTGTCATCTGTGATGCTAAACGCACTTGCTGGCAAGATTGTTTCCACCATCACCTCTGCTTCCTCTGTGAGTGCAGTCTGGAAAAAAGTATGGAAACTGAGTGGCAAATACTGTCCTGACTCGGTTCCTGTTCTTCGAGTTACTGATATTGAAATCACAAACCCTCTTGACGGCAATGACATTCTGGTAATCATCTTGTACGTATCTCTCAGGAGGATTCATCTATGTCCCTCGTTTCATTCCTCAAAGTCTGCCAGAGAGCTAGAGCATTTAAACTTTT